CTTTCTAGACTGCCTGAGACTTTCCACATGGAAAGATTCAGTCGCGTTTTTCCTGACCTGGAAAGCGTTTTTGTCCGTGGAGCCACGAGTAACTACCAGGTAAATTCCATTCCACCATAAATTCCACTGGGAAAGTTGTTTAAAAAATATGTGCGATTATACGACGAATGTATCGTTGCGAAGAAGCATTTTTCCATGCAGGTCCCAACAGCTTCCTTGGGATGAGATTTTACCGTATTCGTGTAGATGGCGTACCTTCTCGAGCGTTGCAAGTTGCGCTGCTTCAAGTCGAATCACTTGGACGGATTGGTGAACGAAGGTCTGGTGAGTCGCTGGTCATCGCTGAGGCAAATCAATCTCCGAGTCCCTGGATTAGACGTCGATCTCACTGCAGTTGCGACTTATTGCCCAAATATTGAAGAAATGCGAATTGACAACGGCATGTTCGTTCTTGGCTCCATAATCGGGTCCTCGCTAATTTCAAATCAAGTACGTATCGAATTTAATTATTTTTCCCTCGTCCATGATGCACATCAGCATCATTTGTTGGAAAGAAAAAGCTTGATGCCATATTTGTTATAATAAGGACCTTGATACAGGGGTATACCTTGCAATTTGACCATAATCCATTGCTGGAGTAGAGTTGAACTGACGCATATAGAAGTCAAATTGCAAGACAACATCAAATGGCATGCTTTCTATACATGGCATTTGATGTTTCATGTCTCTCCACTGGTCAAAGTGCATGCCAGCAAGGTTGAATTCAGAGTCAAATCCCCAGCAAATTTGACCATTGAATTGCGTGACCATTGAATTGCAAAAGGTCAAATTGAAAGGTACCACCTGCATTTTATGAAATGACTCCAGTATTATTGGTTCCATATATTTAAATATATGTGCTGGAATAACTGAGTTTATGAGATCTAAAGCAAAATTTAGAGGCAATAATAAATAGGGAAAGTCAGTTACAGTTGGTCCTTCCTGAGTGGGGAGCTATTTTTGCTGTGACCCCACATCCGTAGGTGCACACCAGGGTCACAACTGGTGCATATGGGATATTCTGGGGTTACAAGTGTGCACACCTGTAGTGGAAATTTTGCTACCATTCCAGTCCCTGAGTAATCCTGGTGTGAAGACTGTGAACACACAATTGGTGCACATTGGGGAGAAGCATGTGAAACAGAAGAAATTTGGTACACTTCAGGTGCACAGCAGGGTCACTGTGTAGAATTACAAACAAATCCCTGGTGTGCACCAATTTCCCCACTCGGGTTGATAACTCAAACCTCCCTATAAGTCAAATACTTTCCCAAGTCAAATTTTTGAAGTCCATCTGAGTCCTTCCATAGACCCAAGACATTGTGAACCTCCTGAACAGGAATGCGTTTTCTTTCAAACCTCAGTGGAAGTTGAATTTTCTGGAGTCCTTCTGGCTACTATTATTTTTTTTTACACAGGAAAGTTATCAGCAATAAAAATGAAACTTGATGTGCTTTGAAAGGAAATGAAAGACTAAATGGGTAATTGAACCTCTGCTTCCAAGTTCAGTATCCCTGTCAACTCATTTATGAATAAATTTGAGGCATACAATACAACCAGTTACAATTTCCTTGAATTCATATCTCCCCTTCCCCCAACAATTGAGCTTGTTTTCTCTAACTGGAAACCTCACCAGATAATTTCCTTTTATGCTGCTCCCTTGAAATCTGACTTGAAGACTGCAATTTTCTCATAAACAAATCCATCATGAAAAACGTGTTTTAAACAGGATACCCAGTTTCTTTATACTGTACGTACTCTACCTTTTCAAGACAGGACGATATGCATTGATTCCTTTCGTCGCCTGATTCCATATGACGATCAAATCAAACCAATTTTATATAATATTTTTTTATTAATCAACATGTTTCCATTTTTGTGTCATGAAAAGGAACAGTTTCCGTGCTTGAAGCGACTGGGATTGAACACTCCGCTGCCGATTGGAGAACACGAATCGTCTTACATATTCTTGCCGCCGGCTGTGATTGCGTTCATTTTGTCAAGGGCGCCTCTGTTGGAATGTGCCGACTTTGGCTACTGCTCCGCCATTTACGACACCGACGTGGAACGGATGTTGCAGGACGCCGGGGCGTCCCGTGTGCAGCGGCTCACACTTCGGGGCGCCTACAGGTTGATCATCTTTCATCTACTGTATTTCATTTCTTCTTTTCGTGTCCCACCCTCATGATTTTTTCTTTGTTTGAAAAATGAAAAAAGGTTGAAAATCCAGAATAAATTCGGACATTATTTTTTTGAAAAGTGGAAAAAGGTTAAATATTCAGAATCTATCCGGAAATGATTTTTTTTTGAAAAGTGGAAAAAGGTTAAAAATGCAGAATAAATTCGGACATTATTTTTTTCAGAAGTGGAAAAAGGTTAAATATTCAGAATCTATCCGGACATGATTTTTTGTTTAAAGTGGAAAAAGGTTAAAAATCCAGAACAAATCCGGACATTATTTTTTTTAAGTGGAAACATGTTAAAAATCCAGAATCTATCCGGACAGCTCAAAGTTCTCAGAATTTGTGAAATTCAACTTCATATACCCAAATTTTCATACAAATACAGTACACCATGGCTGAATAATACGGGACTTCTCATCGAACATTTATATGCCAAGATTTTTTTTAGAGCCTATAGAAGAGATCATATCTTGTTCAATAATAATTTTAGTAAAATCTGTGCTGCACACTGCAATTTTTGCAGAAACGATTTATTCTTTTTGACTGCTTAACAAAACCACTGAACATATACGAGGGCTCTAACAAAATTTCTCAACAGCCGCCAATGTGGCGGCTGTGAAGGCGGCTGCTGATGAAAATGGCGGAATTCCCTTGGCAGACCAGGAAGCAACCCTTGGATGAATTAATGCCACGTTGATTTCAAAAATTCTGAGGTGACAGCTGAGCTACAACAACAAAAAATCTACAGGAAAAGCACATCATGTTTTGACTGAAGAGAAAAACTCTGCTAGAGTGAATTTTGCAAGAGATAAAAAAATTTTCAAACAGGGCTAATTTTTTTTTTGTGCCAAAGAATAGGTTTTCCCTGAAGAATAATTTTTCCCCAGCTCGATTATACGCCATGTTTATTTATATTCCAAGAAATTTTGTTAGAACCCTGGTATGTGAGAATTCCGCTAGAAATTGCTGAGATAATAGTGGAAAGCCTCCAGCTTTTATTGAGGCGAAGATCCAAGATTGCGAATCACATGTCTTAAATTTAGAAAAACGTACAGACACTTGAAACACATGCAGTACTTGAATTCTAATGAGAAATGTGTTTTTGAATGAAGTCAAAAGACTTTTAGTGTAAAGTGCGTATACAGTATTATTATTTCCTGTTTGTTTTTTCGCTTCCTTATAGGTTGAGCAACGAAGCAGTCATGAAGTTGATCCAAGGGTTTCCTGAACTCAAAATGATGGCTATGAAGATTTTACCCAGGGACCGACTGGTGGAAATGGAAAAGCTCAAGACTTGTCTCAAAGAGCAAAACGCTGACGTGACACTCTTGACTTACGGCAATTACTGAAGTAGAAAATTATTTGATCACCAGGATCGATTTATTTGTACTGTATTATGATTCAACCAAAACTTTCATGCGTTCTTTTGATAAAAAAGAAAATGATGTGCCATTGCAGTACAATATTTTTTTCCTTCGTACATGGCGCGGCGATCAAGCGCATGTCCTGGAAGAAAACGATGTTTTTGAAGAATTATCCATTGATTTACTTCTTTCGATATCATTAATTTATCTCGGCTGATGACTGTCGAAGGGTCGAATGCTTTTCTGGAACACTTTTGTGTAGATGGACTCCAGTCAGCTGATATTTCAGGCAATTCTGACCACCCAGAAAGCAATTAAACCAATCCAAAATTTGGCTGATTTCAGATTATAGATACTCAAATTAAAATATTTCCTGCATGCTTGGGGAAGATGAAAAACCCCCTATTTTGAATGATACAGAATATTAATTTTTTGGCCTAAGAAACCCTCTGTGAAGTCAACATTTTTAATTTTTTGAAAACATTCGAGTATATATCTGCTTCATTGGTGCTTAACTTAATTTTTGCAGAAGAGCATGAACTTTCTAAATACCTGCCATAAAGTCTTTCAAGCAACACTATTTTGAATCTGCAAAAGATCTTTGAAACTTTCCCAGCCAGCAGAATTGTTTTTGTGGAAATTTGCTGGTCTGCAAAAATTCTTATGGAAATGTGTGGGTCCAAGGTCCCAAAAAGGTTAGGGAAGATTGTCTTAGAGTACTTAGACTATACTTGAAGTACATGCAGATTTGCCTTAAAATCTTAAATCATAAAACAACTTGATGAAAAAGATAATTTCCAATATTCTTTTCATCTGAATAATGAATGAATGAACAGAAATGAACATCTGAATAATATATTAGCTTGTCCGCTTTATTTAAAAGAGCACATGCTGTATACAGTTTTGGCTAATTGCTCAGGCTATTGAGTTTCTCAGGTTAGTCTCCAAAGAAAAAAAAACATGGGTTTGCATTTTTTGGATGATCACATCCCAAAAAAGGCACATGAGAGTGCTGCAGGGCATCTCATCAATAACCATTGACCCATTTACAACCTGTTAACCCTTGCAGTGCTGGGATTGACCCACACAATTTTGTGCCAGGATGAGTAAAAAAGGAGAGAAAAGAATGATTCAAAGAGCCAAAGTTTGGAGAAATCCCAAGTTTTTTTAGCTTTCCTACAGAAAAATGTTGTCAACAAAAAAAGAAAAAGCTTACTGTTAGGTGACATTTTTCCTGCAATCCTGCCATATAGGATTAGCATTAAGGGATTTTCAAAACCATGGCTTTCTCTTTCCCAGATTTTTCCCAACTTTGGCTACTCAGCCAAAGCTGTATTTTGGTGACCTTGGTCAAAGCAAAAGGCACAAGTGTGCACAAAAAAAAAAATCCTGACACTGCCATGCAATGGAAAAGGACCCACTGCTGCCCAAAGGTTAAATCTGGCTGGCTACTTCTGTATCTGTACATTTTCTGAAATAGTTTTATTTATTTTCTGCACCAATTTTTAAAAGGTTTTTTTTTGGAAATGATACCCATTGTCAGGGGCTAAAGAGCCTTACTGGCAAAGCTTGATTTCACTAAATCAAATAAAGTGGTAAACACAATCGGCCTTTTGGGGGCCTGAGGTCAATACCTCAATCTTCTGTTTTATGTCAGTCAGGTCTTCCAATAAAATATGTGTGCACACAAAAATATCTTGGAGCTCCTTCCTCTGTCAGGTTTCAACTGCAAGTGCCCTCTCTCTTCCTTGATTCTGCACAGCTTCTTGTCCTCAGTCAGTGGAAAGTTTTGTCAAGGCTTTCCTCATGTGAGTAATCCTTTTTTGGAAAAGGTCCAGTTAGGTTCCTTTGACTCCAGGGTTGATTCGTTCCTTTTGAGAAGTGAGCTTTGGAGATCATTATTTCCAAGGCTGGCTGGTTGTTAGTTTTCTTGAGAAACTTATTTTTCTTTCAGCACAGACATTTCTGTGTGATAAATCTTTTCCTTTCTGGTTCAAATTTCTCCCGAAAATAGCGGGGGGTAACGGGGCGT